GCTTAACTGACTTTATTAAGAAGTTGAAGGGGCAAATATTAGGTTTTCCCTCTCTTTTGATTAGCTTCTTAGCGCAGTTCTGTTCGACTCACCATATCCTAAAGCTGCGAGGAAATGCTATCGGCAATGCAACATCCACTCTTATTCTCCCGCTTTCCTCGCCACATCTCTTCCTCCTTCGCTAAATCTCGCCCTCTCCACATACTCTCCTCCGCCCAACCCACCGCCGGTCTATCCGTCGCCGACCAATCCCCACCCTCCAACTCACAAATCCTCTCCATCCGCCACTCCCTCCTATCCGGCCACTTTACTGCAACTCAACTTGCCGAGTCCTATCTCAACCGCCTTAAGCTAACTGAGCCCCAACTCAACTCATTCCTCCATATCTCCAACAATGTTTTGAAAGAGGCACAGGAGATTGATGACAAGATTAAGAAAAAGGAGGAAGTAGGTCCGCTTGCTGGGGTACTTGTTGGGGTAAAAGACAACATTTGTACTGCTGATATGCCCTCCACTGGAGGCTCCCGGATTCTGGAAGGGTATCGACCGCCATTTGATGCCACAGCTGTGAAAAGAGTGAAGGAGTTGGGTGGGATTGTGGTTGGGAAGACTAACTTGGATGAATTTGGGATGGGAAGTACTACTGAAGCTTCTGCCTTTAAGGTTTGGTTTTCATTTTAAATATGTTTGTGGGTTCAATTGGGTGTTCTTGCTGTTACTTCTTTTAGGTAAATATGTTGGTGTTAGTAATTTTCCGTGTCTATTTGTAATGGCAAGTGTGGTGTAGGTTTGAATATCAAAGGTAAAGGGAACTGGAAAATGGTCATGGTTGTAGTATTCTCAAAGTTAGATGTAGGATATAGCTGTCTTGGCAATGTACTGGTAAAAAGGGTAGAAGCTGTTTTAATATGGGTATCACTAGCTAAGAGCTGCTGTTTTATAGGTAGCACAAGCTGAGAGCTGCTTGGAACTTATTTAGCTTAAGTTTTTAGTAAACTATAGAAGATGTCTATCCAAATTGTAAGTAGAATTAATGTTCATCGTAGTTTCTTTGCTGGTTGATCTTAAAATTGTGATGTCTTTAAACAAAATATCTTTGGTTTAAGGAGAGCTTAAGAAGGCAACAGCAATACTTCCTCCTTAGCAATGTTAAATACTCTGATGTCCAACTTAAGTGTTTGTCATAACTTTTCTATGACTCTTTTCCTGACTACTGCATTTGATTAACACTCTTAGTGTGCTGGTTTGCCTTTCTTTTTCCCTTTGTGATGGAAGTCTGTAGTTAAACTCTTGATTATATACTTTGCTTCCAACTGGTAACTGGAGTTGGTTTACTCAGGTGGTGATACATCTGTTGATTCATTAGGTGACTGCAAACCCATGGGATTTGTCTCGGGTAGCCGGAGGATCATCAGGAGGCTCAGCAGCTGCTGTTTCTGCTAGACAATGTGTGGTATCACTAGGGAGTGATACTGGTGGAAGTGTAAGGCAGCCAGCATCATTTTGTGATGTTGTTGGTCTGAAACCAACATATGGACGAGTCTCGAGATTTGGGCTTATGGCTTATGCATCATCCCTTGATGCTAGTGGATGTTTTGGTTCATCAGTCACTGATGCTGGGATTCTTCTTCATGCAATATCTGGTCATGATAGATTTGATGCCACAAGTAGTAAACAAGTTAAGTGTTATTTGAGGGTTCTTTTTGTTATTTGACCTTGATTTTTATAGAAATGATTTTTTTTCTAGCTTAATGCTTCCTAGCATCTGCCTTAGAGAGCATTTTGAAGGTTCTGTTATAGGCATAAAGAAAGGAAAATTTATTACCTCAGTGAACTAATTTTTCATCTGTTAGTATGTATACTTTCAATGTATCATTATCAACTGCTTTATGTAACAATCTTTATTCACGATTTAAGCAAAAATTTAAGCATATACTGTGTGAATATGGGTGAAGGCCAAAAAAAAAAGTGTGAATATGGGTACGGCATAGAAAATGTGGATATTTTACTTTTGCAGGGAATTTGGGAATATTTCTGCTACAATTTTGAGATTAAATTGGAAATGGGTTTTCTGTACCATAAAATCAAATTAAGAAAAAAAATTGAATCCATTCTATCTGGTTAATTTAGTCTTTGGGTTTCTGAAAATCCCTTAGTGTCTTCATTGTTTATTGTTGTGTTCTAAATTTTAAGAAATTCTCATTTCAGGAGGTACCTGATTATGCTTCTCAATTCATTTCTGCAACATTTCTGAAATCCAGACCACTGGAGGGATTGAGGGTTGGTCTGATCCGTGAAACCATAGATGAGGGTGTTGACTCTGGAGTAAAATCAGTTATCCATGGTGCTGCATCTCATCTAGAACAATTAGGATGCATGGTGACAGAGGTCTGACTTGAACACCTTTATTTACTGCCTAATGCAGAATTTCCATGTCTATTGTTTTGTGCTTCATTTGATTTTAAACATTGCAGGTGTCCCTACCATCGTTCTCCCTTGGATTACCAGCTTACTACATTCTTGCCTCATCTGAGTCATCTTCTAACTTGTCACGTTATGATGGTGTCAGGTGATTTGCCTTGAAAGGTTTTTCAATTTTTAAGCATGATCTGCTGATTTTGTCTTTGGATAAAGCCAGTTTTCATCTTATAAGGACCGGTTTTCTATCTTTTTTTATTAAACTTTGAAGAAGTTTTTTTGTATGTGTGCATGTTTTAAACATGAGTTCTTATTCTGTTTTCCACATTAATTTCCAGGTACGGAAACCAAGTTTCTGCTGATGAGCTAAATTCACTCTATGAAGATTCCCGAGCCAAAGGTTTTGGTCCTGAGGTGTGTTTTTTAAAGTAGCTGTTTAGAAACTTGACCAAGAGAAAAGCTTAAATTCGAGTGGATCAGTCAGCAGTCTCAAAATAAAATATATTTCATTTTTTTAGGTCAAAATGAGAATATTAATGGGAACATATGCCCTTTCAGCTGGTTACTATGATGCCTATTACAAGCGTGCCCAACAGGTATCATTGTACTTAAAACATATGTATTTATCAGTTATCTTGTTCGGCCTACCCAGATAATGATGGATCACTTGCCAGGAGTAGCCCAGTATTTGTATCCTCCTCCCTTCTAACTCTTTGCTTTCAGAAATCCAAATTTTTTTCTTCTAGAAAATGCTCAGCAGGAGACATGTTATATTTCCAATCAATATCATAGGGCCCAGTTTACTTGATATTCTTACTATCTTTTGGTCTTAGCACTATTTCCCTGAATAAATAAATGAGCCTACACGCCCTGCAACACCTCATTGAAATAATGAAGGAACCTTAATTATATTTTATTGGAAGTTTTCCAGATCTCTTCTGAAAATATTCAGTATTCACAATCCTTCTAGAAACTTTAATGTTGCCCAAGAAGAAATGCATGATTCCGATACTGTTTTAGGTAAGGACCCTAATTTGGGAAAGCTTCAAGGCAGCTCTGGATGAAAATGACATTCTGATTTCACCGGCAGCTCCATCTGCTGCTTATAAGATTGGTATGATGCTTACATCCTCTGTTATCTTTTTCTTTTTCCTTTTGTCTTTATCTTTCTTGTGACTTTCGTGGTAAGGGTGATTGAAAGAATTCTGGGATGTGGTATAAATAGCTTTGTTTGATAAGAATTTTCTTATTTGTAAGCCAAGGGGCTAAAAACCATAAGCAAGAAGGTTTTGTGATCAGGTGATTGACATTTACCCTAAAACTCTAGTTTTCATCGAAACTAGTCCTCTGAAGTCTTCTCTGCGGAGCTACCAATCTGTACTCCATGGTGGGTTTGGGGGAGAAAGAGTGGGTAGGGTTTTCCATTAATTGTCATCTTTTACTTTAATCAATCAAATAGCATACAGATTGGGTTATTTTTTGGTAGATGACATTAAACAATTTATTCTGATGGTCACAGGTGAAAAGACAAATGATCCACTGGCAATGTATGCTGGAGACATTATGACTGTAAGCATATTCAGCTGCTTTGGTTGTTTTGTTTTCTAGTCTTCTCCTCCCAGTTTATGCTACATCACAAAATATACCAAGACATTTGGTTACAATAATGAACATGTTTTCTACCATTTTCGGAATTTATTGACAAAAACAAGAAAAGGGCTTGTGGTAATTGAAAAGAATACATATAGCACGTGTTATAAATTAAGGATATGGCTTTGAACAGATTGAAGTAGGGGAGAGCACGTTCCATAATGCTGACAGATAAATAATTGCCAGAAGCTGTTTCAGTTTGTCACTTTTTAAATTTTATGGAGTAAACAAGAAAAGCATTTGGCAATCATTGGCATCCAGTTTTTCTTGATTTTCTCAATCAATGAATTTGTACTTGTTACAGGTCAATGTTAATTTGGCAGGGCTACCTGCTTTAGTTTTGCCATGTGGATTTGTTGAAGGGGGCACTGATGGGCTTCCTGTCGGTCTTCAAATGATTGGTGCTGCATTTGATGAGGTATGTAAACATTGTTTTCAACCAACTGTTTCTAGGGAAGTAAAAGGTTTTTTCTGCCAGTCTTTTATTAATATAAAAAAATCACAAAGCAAATTGCTAAAGATAAAAATAATGAAATGGAAGATGTGAGGTCCAGCTTACAACTTCCTTTTTCCTTTTTCCACAAACCCCATGGTATGAACCTGAAATTATAGACAGGAACATTGCAACGAAACCAGGAATGACTTTTAGTGATGACAGGGTGCTCAATAATTGTCAAGTAATGGTGAGGAGAATAATTCATATTCTAGCAACTCGTTTCATAAAGCTTAACTGATTAAGAATATGTATCCTTGTTTACAACAGAATATTAGATCTTGTCATATTCTTGAGAAAAGGTATAAATAAGGATGGGATGTTAACTTTGTATTTTTTTCTATTTAAGGATGTTAATTTTATCAATTTCTAAATAAAGATGTTAACTTTTAACTTTCTATTTAAGGATGTCAACTTGTAATTTTTTCTATTTAAGGATTTCAACTGTCAACATTCATATCTATTTGTCACGTTAGCATTATCATCTAATTAATCCTTAAATAGAAAAAGTTGAAAATTGGTGTTTTTAAATATAAAAAGTCGAAAGTTGACATCTTTAAATAGAAAAAATTGAAATTAATATCCTTATTTATAAACTAGCAAAGTTAATATTTTTAAATAGAAAAAAGTGCAAAGTTAGCATTCTTATATATATCTTTTCTCTATAATTCTTTCCTCATTCTTTAGAATATAAATCCCGCCTTTCACTGATAGAGTATGAGTTGGGTAATATGTACTCTCTTGTGTGCAGGAAAAATTGCTCAAAGTAGGTCATGTCTTTGAGCAGACTCTTCAAGGTTGCAAATTCGTTCCTCCATTAATTGCAGACAAGATTGCAGACAGTTACTGATGATAGTTGCGAAGAATGCCGAAGCCTATTACCGTTGTTGCCCATGAACCTTCCTATTGGGAGATTGACAGAGGTTGATCCACTCATACTGTGGCTTAACCTAGCCCTTAGGACTTCCCACAACGTTGTTCCCGTGTCTTTGGGCATGTACAAACCACATTCTTCTTTTTTTTTTTTTGAACAGGTTTTTACAAGGGGCTGAGTCGAACCCAGCCCAGAGGAGGGGGGAAGTGCACCGTGAGTGGCTGTTGCCACTTGAGCCAAAGGGTTCGGTGCAAACCACATTCTTCTTGTTGATGTGAATGATACAATTTTGAATGAAATAGTCTGTCTCCCCTAAAGTGCTGTGGGCTTGTATCACGCTAGAATTCTGTTATTTCAGTTCCTGAATGGCCCGAGAAAACAGTCCTGTATTAAGATCTGTTTGCATATGCTGATATGCTGATATACTGATAACGCAGGCCTGTGGTCCGGTGTAAAAATTTTTCGTTAGTTTATTACTTGTTCATAAAATTCAATTTTTATCCCAGGATTTTAACCGGTTATTGAATGGAGAACTTAAATGTTAGAGATCCTTAAATATCTTTTTATGCAAGGCAAGTATCGTTCTTTTGAGGACTTAAACGAAAGAAATGTAAACTATAAGCTAAAATTATCAAAATATATATTACCATGAAAAACCCAAGCATCTTTACATAAAATGAAATAAAAACAAGTTCATAAAGTAGAAATAAGCCATGTCACAAAGTAGGGAACTAAATGACTAGACTGCTGAAAAGGCTTTCAATGTAAGATTATTTCTTGAAAGTTCTTTAACCTTGACATGAATGACTCGTCCTATTCTGGAGTATCAGATCCTCGAATTGAGTCTCAGCTGCCCTTTTATTGGAACGAACCCACTTCCCATTCCACCAGTTGAGATGTCTTCTCAACTTAAAAATAGGATACCAAAGCGTTTCGTCAGAGCTAGCAAAATACATCTTGTACCTCTTCTCCTGCCTCCCAACAACCATGCCAACCCACTGTTGAAGAATTTTCAAAACGGTTCCAAGATTTGAATTTGAATCATAAAAAGTTGGTTTGAAGCAATTGTATAGAATGTATTTGAAAAAATATAATTTTGGTTCCAACTATATAAATATGATTTGAACTATTTAAATAAAATTAGAATTTTAAAAGTATAATTTTGGCTCAAACCATTTACATAAAAAATAAAAATAAAATTCTGTTAAATTTCTCAAAGAAGAGTAAATAATTTTGGAAGGTAAAAAAATATGTGAATTGAAATTCAAATCAAACCAAATGACTTTTAAAAGAGTTTTCAACTGATAAACTTAACTGAAAAGAAGCCTATATTGGGAATAGACATCTTGCCTCAATAAATATGGAGTTATTTCTTTATTTTAGTTTCTTAAACATAGAAATAAATCCATACTATTATCTACATAAAATAGATGCATTATTAGAAACCGGAGAAATGAGCATGACACGAAAGAAAATGCAGTTTCAGCGGGAGAAGCATAGCTCTCTCCTTTATGATACAAACTTCTATTACTTCCCACTTCAGCTAAAAATATATCCAACTGACGTCTGATATAGCATGGATACCCTGAAACTCTGATAAGTTAATACAAAATAAATTGAACCTTACATGCATAAAATTTATTTGAACCATCTCCATCTTGCAGGCGGGAAAATTTCCACCACAGGCACCATATTTAAACCAACACGGGCCTAAAACACAATGTGGAAGCTACTCTCTGAATCAGAAAATTATATCATCATCCTTCTCCATACCCGCAGACAACAGATTGTGTGCTGCACCAACGGAAACCCCTCTTTCCAAAGAAATCTTCTCTGCAAACTTCTCCTCAGCAAATAGCTTGGCGGAGGCAACCTGTCTCTCAATTTCCCTTTTCTTATAACCTTGTATCTTCTTTAACCTGAAGAAATCCTCTCTTTCAAGCTCATCCAACTCCCCCTTAATATAACTAATTGTATTCTCCAACCTTGGCTTCACAACATTCTCCAAAGCATTGACCCTACGATTTGTGGTTTTAATTGCCTCGTCAAGTGTCAAGAATGATGTCTGAAGAGAAGCAAGCTCAACAAGGACCTCAATTGCTTTTACATAAGCAGCACGGCACTGTTGGACCTGCTGTCCACCTCTGGCTAAACCAGTCAGGTTATTCTTTGTCTCACCGTCAGTGAAGTACTCAAACTTGGGAAGCTTCACACCAGCAATGTTCTCCTGTCGTGATCTAACTTTCAGGGATGCATTTTGGACATTCTCAAGGACAATGTGTTTGACGTTATCACCAGCAACATACTTGGCTTCAGTCAGGGAAAATGACGAGGTTTTCATAATCTCGCCCATTGACTCTTTAGTAGAGACTATCTTCTTAAGAATCTGGCGGAATTGCACGGTTAAGGCATCACTCTTCTTCTTGAGAAGAGCATGGCCTCTTGTAGCACCAACAAGCCGGGCTTTCATAACTCCCAACATTGTGACAGTAGGAACCACATTCAAACGCTGACCTTGCCCTGACATCTTTTGCAAATAGCTAAATCACAAAAAGATATAAACAGAGTTAACATTTAACAGGCAAAAAAAAAAGAGAAGAACCATTGCTTATCCTCACTCAATATTATGCAAATCCTTGGTTCAATCTTAAAAGCCACAATTTGAAGACTAGATCACATAAAATAACATGAAAAATTAGCAGGCATAATCATATCAATTCATGAATCTTTCAAAAATGTAAATGTAAAGAGAATACAGAAAAAAAAAAAAAATAGATGAAACCTGAAAAAGTTGTAAACTAGAACAAAAATAATGAACCACACATTTTCTAAACCCTTTAGAAAAAAATAGATAGAAACCTGCTGAAATGTGCTTTTCTCATTCTTCTTTTATGTAAACTAATTTGCATCAAAACTATTAAAATATATTCCAATTTCTATCATGAGGGAGGACAATGTAGCAACCATAGGACAGGAAATTACTCCTTGTCCCTGTCTCCACAAAAACTAGTAATCCCTGACCAGTCAGTGATGCAAAATGCCTGTAAATATTTTTTTCTCCAACGAAATGGGTATCATAAACGAACTAGTTGTGCACTATGCATGGTTTCCTCATAAAAGTTCTACATGGTTTGAAAAATAACAAACAGCTGCAGAGTGCTTGAAAATAGCTAGTTCACCCATAGATTTCTACAGTCCCACTTACATTAAACCTTCAGCAAGTGTTCATTATATTTCAAGGCAACTTCAGAACTTCATATTTCTCCAACAAAAAAACAAAATTTTCCTCCAGTGACCTACCCTTACTTCCTGCATCAGTTTCTAGCACCCTAAATTGCCATCTCAAGCCAATCCATTCACTAGACCAGGCTCTTCTACTCAAGGAGTTAGAGCGAAGAGATCAAATCCTACATACAAGGCAAATTATATTGAGGTCAAGCACGATTTGATGATATAGAGATTGGAGGAACTATGTTTTTCTTTAATGAAGGAAGGCATGAACTTGTCAAAGGTGCAGAAGGAATTTTAAAACCAAAGCACATGACAATATGAATAAAACTTAAAATTCTTTGTGAAACTGAATTTAAACTATTTGTCAAGATTCTTGGAATGAATGTGGAAGGTGGAAGCTCACAAGTACTATGGACTACAAACTACATTTTCTCAGAATGTAAGCATGTCCTAGAAATTGTAAATAAATGGAACTTCAAGATAGATTTGTTCATTTCCTGAGGCAACTGCAAAGTATTGCAAATTTAATGAAACTTAAAAAGAAAAACAAGAAACTAGTTTGTGAGATGGATTTGTGCAAGTTATAATGGTTACCAGCTCTTCAGAACTCAGTGAAACTAGTTTGTGAGATGGAGGACATGTACACGTTATAAGGTTTACCAGCACCTCTGAACTCAAAGATACAATTGCCCGATTTACTCGTCAATATTAGCTTCTTCTAACCAAAAATATGAATTCAATGCAAATGATACAGTTTCAAGATCACTTCCAAAGTTGTGAACTTTTGGTTAATTTGAACATAAATGTTTCAATCTAGTGGGCAGATTTCCTTCACATTGAGGGAGATCAGGAATCATTTTGACACAAGATAAAGCTTTGTTCTTCTTGACAATTTAGGTAAAACAGAACAGGTTCCTAGGCAGCAGATAATACAGTCGGTTGGCAGTTAGTGTTTGACTGTTCGTTAAGTAGTGAAGCTGAATGTATAAATGGCAGGCTTATACTGATCACGGATCATTGAAGGATTAGATCAATATTTCTCTCTCAAAACAGTCTCAATTCCGTTATCTCCTTCATCTGTCACTTTGATTCCTGATCTATTTCATCTCCAATTTCCTTCCCGGTTTCCTAAATTTCAACCGATTTCTTCTTAAGAGTTACTCTCAGACTAGGTAAAAACATAATTACTCTCTTCGCATATCAAATTGTTGAATTAAATGAAGAAAAACAAAAGGAAGGCTTACCGGAGGGAGATTTGAGGGGCAGGGATCTGCGGCGAGGCGGGACGGCTTGCCGGGATCCGACGCGGGAGGAAGAAGGGAGAAAGGAATAGAAAAAGTGAAGGGAAAAGGGAAGACGGGAGAGAGAGAGAGAGATTTTAAACCCAAAGAGGAACGACGTCGTTTCCATTTTTGGCTTGGTTAAATTCCAATTTTGGTCCCTCAACTTTACAGTTTTAAACAGTTTTTGTCCCTCAACTTTTTTATATACTTTTTTATTTGTCAACTATGAAAAATATGCTTTTCTAATTCTTTTATTAGTTAGTCTATTATGTTTATCCATATAAGCAAATTTTGAATCCCTCAACTTTAGAATTTTACACAATTTTCATCATTTAATTTAAAAGTTCAAAAACTAAAAATGTGTATATATAAATATATTTAACGGATTAACTAACAAAAAAAACTAAAAAAATATAATTTTTTTGAAGATAAAAACCCAAAAATGATGTAAAAAATGAAGAATAAAAATTATGTAAAATCCTAAAATTGAGAGATCAAAATTGATATCTAACCTTTTAACTTCCCTTATAGGATTAGGGAGGGCAAAAAGGATATATTAGTTCACATATTTTTTGATTTATTTGAAATTCACCTCTTAACTTTTTCAAAATATTTTTTAACCCTCGTACTTTAACATGGAAATAACCAACTAATATACTTTTTAATTGAAATAAATTAGCCTAAATTAACAAATGACATCATGTTACGTTACATTTCCATAAAATCCATTTCAAGTGCATTATGTTATAAAATAAATCCACTCACATACTTTTCAAATTATTTAAAATCCACCCCTCTACTTTTTCTTGAAAATTTTCTACCCTTGTACTTTTATGTTGAAATAAATCAATCTATATGCTTTCCTATTAAAATAAATTAGACCAAACTTAATAGATGACATTATACCATGTCAAATTTTTGTGAAATCCATTTCAAAACCATTATATCTTGATAATTTGGCATGCATTGGTCCGATTTTTTGTGTGATAAATTATTTTTAATTTAATTGGACATATATAGATGACATAACAATAAAAATGTATTCATTTAATTTCTTTATTCAATGACAAAAATACCCTTCTATCCTCATGCACAATCATTTTTTTTTTTAGACTTAGGGTTTGATTTAGTAATCCATGTTGTTTTCACAAACCCTAAATCTCTTCCATTAAAATCCTAAGAACTAGGTACCATTGTATCTGGTGAGAGTCCTACTAAGACTTTAGATTATGTCATTTAGACTACCAAATCCTTCAAAAGGTGCCAAGTCAAAGCCTAACCCAACTTAGATCTCATCATGAGATTGCACATACTTGCCATGATTTATTACAACCTAAGGAGGTTTGATTACGCTATGCCAATTCTAAAGTAGGTAATTTAGGTACCTAACATCACTCAAAGATGATATTTAGTTAAAATGGTTGTGAATAAGAAGAAGAAGATGTCATTGCAAAAGTATAGCTAAACTTGAAACTCTAAGTCCCAAATTTTCAATTTAAAAACAAAGGAAATAAGAGTATTTTT